GTGTGCCCCGGAACCACCGATCCCGTTTGTTTTTTCCTCGGGATTGTAGACAGTCCTGCCTATCTTATATAGATAGACATGGAAAAACAAAAACAAAAACAAAAAAGCCAATAAATAGTTCCACGTCTGTCTGTTGAACCTGCTGAACATTTTCCTATTGGGCTAAGCCCTGCCCTCTAAGGTAAGGTGACCAGACGTCCTGCTTTTTAACAATTTTCCCATGTCCCGCGGCGTTTTGAAAAAGTCCCGATTTTTGGAAAGAATGCACGACAAGCTAGGGTAGATGGTTTTCGGCTGCCATGTGGCTATTTCACCAGGATATGAGTTTGATCAATGGTGTCCCACTTTACCAATGTTACAATCTGGTCCCCTTACTCTAAGGCAGAAGTCTATTTTGGGGATTCCTCGGGAACTTCGTGGCTTTGCTCCCCTTGCTGCTCTGCTGAGCTCACTTCGTGTTTCACCCCAGTGTGGAGGGATAAGACCAGGCACAATTCCTGCACTGTTTCCAGTGCTGTCCCCTCTAGTGCTGTGGGTCAGTGAAGGGACATCGTGTCTCATGGTGAGGCTGGCCCTACAGTCTTCTCTGTGCATTGGCTGCTCTGAGCAGAAACGCCCTCCTCGAGGATTGGTGGGCCCGGATGCAGTCCAGCTCTCTCTCTTTCCCTCCTAGTTTGCTCCCTGTGGTCTGGGTAGACCCACCACTCTCCCTGGGCTAGATCTTCAGTGCTGTGCTCTGTAGTGCATTCTTCTGGAGAGGGGGCCAGCGTAGCTGGGGTTGGGGCCTGGTCCACAGATTAATTTATTTTTATAATTAAAGAGTTGCTCCCTCAATGACACTGACCTGTTCATTTGAAGATTGTTGAAAGGCTCAGTGTTTCATTACATATATATTTACACACAAACACACACAGCGAATTGATCCTTTTGATGGAAGTTTATAAATCTATCGACATATTTTTTTATGATCTCCTTATTACTTTTACATTTTCATAGGACCAGTAATGATAGAAGTTCTTCTGTTCATGACACCAGGAGATACTGGAGAAGATTTAGAACTTCAGCCAATTGAACTTGGAACACCCAGTGACGAATTGGATGGAATGGGAAAGCAGAGTGAAGAGGTTCTAGGATGACTCTCAGGTTTCTGCTGGAGGTGAATCATGGGATGTCTCATCGAGGCTGGGAATCTGTATGGTGCAGGTTTGAGTGGGTAAGAGGAACTGGGAAAGATAAAGATCTTGGTTTTAGACAATGAGGTGCCTAAGAGACACAGAAAGAGAGGTGAGCAAACTTAGGTTCCTTCAGAGCAGTGGTTCTCAACCTTCCTCATACCTCGATCCTTTCATGTGGTGGTGATCCCCCAACCATAACATAATTTTCGTTGCTACTTCATCACTGTCATTTTGCTACTGTGATGAATTGGGCTACCCCTGTGAAAGGGTTGCTCGACCCCTGAAGGGGTTGTGACCCACAGGTTGAGAACTGCTACCCCTGTGAAAGGGTTGCTTGCCCCCTGAAGGGGTCGTGACCCACAGGTTGAGAACTGCTGCTGTGGCGGTTAGGGTGGTTAGGGTCTGGGGAAGAAAATGGATGAAGGGAAATGAAGCAATGCAGGCAAGTGGCAATGCGACTGGCGTGGCCGAGTTTGCTCAGGGCTGGGTAGCGTCAGGAGCATCTTGCGAAAATTGCAAAGGTTAATTGTACACGTCTTTAAAGAGCAGTTAGAAACCTGTTTGGGAAAATGCCTTTCCATAATTTGTTTCAACATGTTGAGTTACAGCAAATGAGAGAAAATAATCTCAACCTTCTAATTTTGGGCCTTGCCAGCTGGAAACCTCTGAAACCAGCCCTGTGAGCTGTTAAGTAGAGAAGCATTACAGGCTTTTATAAAGAACCAGGCTTTATAAATGCTAGAGGGCAAATGGCCTTGTTAAAGGCAGCATTGTTCAAACCACAAGAACAAAGAAACTTATATCGATTAAGAAGCTATTGGGGGAAAAAAAAGAAGCTATTGGGATTAAAATGCAAATTTCTTTTCCAACTTATTTTTTTAAATGGCCACAGCCATCAAGTCAGTTCGGCCTCATAGCGACTCGGAAGGATCGGTTTTCTGAGGCTGTGCTTCTTTATACCAGCAGATACCCTCGTCTGCAAATTTTAGATTTAAGCAAGGGGAGCAAAGTGATGAAATCCCCGAGGAAGACAAAAAATAGACTTTGGAGACAGAGTGTGGCACCCCATCAGACTTGACTGGGAAACACTCGTAAAGGCCAACACATTTTTTTTTTTTTAGATTTAAAGCCTCAAAGAAGCTGGTGGGTTTGTTTAGTAGTCGAGTGCTTCCCGGACAGAGCTCATTCACACCAAATAGCATAGTTATTATTAAAAAGAAAGGCAAGGGAGATCCAAGATGGTGGCCCACAGGAGGCTGATGAAGGAGCTTGCAGAACCCCCCCCCCCCC